TGGGGGGGGGGGGGTGGAAGTGTGGAGAGTTTATATTTTTTGTTTTTAAATTTTTATTTTTTTTTCTATTTTTAAAATTATTACGAGTATATGTTATTTTATAATTTTATTTTTCTTTTTTATTATTTGTCTTTTCATTATTTTTATTACATTTATTTTTATTTTAATTATTTTATTTTTTAATTTACTATATTTTTATTACTATTATTTTATTTTACTATTTAGTTTTTTATTTATTACTATTATTTTATTTTACTACTATATTATCTTAACTTTTTATTTCAAAATTTTAAATTATGATAAATTTACTTTTTGAATCATTACTATTATTATTAATTTATTTATTATTTACTGTTTTATTAATTATATATTTATTTACATATTTATTTATTTTATTATTATATTTTTTGTTATTTTTAATTACTGTTTTATCAATTATATATATATTTACATATTTATTTATTTTATTATTTACTTCATGCACTTTATTTTCATTCTAATTAAAAATACTCTATTAATTTAATATAATGCCTATTTAAGGCAACCTGGGGCAAGATCAACTCATCATCAAAACAAGAGTTGTATTTTGTTGACTTTAAAATCTACCTGTCAAATGTGGATCTTCTCACATATTTTATTACTTCATAATTAAAATTTTTAATTTTTGTAAAAAGTCTAATTTTTTATAATTTTATAGTCTAATTTTTTATAGGTAATTTATAGTCTAATTTTATAGGTAATTTATTGTCTAATTTTTCTCCTCCCAGGAATCTTACGTCTATAGGTATATCCATTAAAAATTGTGGACTAAAATAAACTAATTAAAAAATCATGTAATAGCTGGGATGAACATTCCGTCCATACTCCGTATCTCCTTTAGTAATCGTCAAATTGTACATGCTATTAATAGATATTTATTTCCTATTTTGTTTTTAATGAATATCAATAAAGTTTTCACAATAATACTCTCTTTATTCTATATTAATTGTCTTTTAAAGTTTTATGATACATTTAAAAATGAATAAATATAGACATAAAACTTGTCAATATTCATTCATTTTTTAATATAATTTAAAAATTATAAAAGATAGTTAATATAGAATGAAGGTAGTATATATTTTGAGACACCCAAATAAGAAAATGAACTCTTTTTTTTTTAAATTTTTCAAATTTTTTGACTCAAAAATAAACTTGATCAAATTGCGGGCCGGGCCAGGTTTCAAGTCAGGACAAAATGCTAATTACGAGAATTTTTTAGGCTAGAGCTCGGCTGGGCCCCGGGCCTAAGAAACCCGAGTCCAGCTCACATGGGTACCCGCGAGCTTTGGGAGAGCCTTGTCCATATGAGCAACTTTTAAAAAGTTAAAAACATACTCCCTCCGTCCTAATTCTTTCTTCCCAGTTTGACTTTTCCCCATTTTTAATTTTTGGCTTTGACTTCAAATTTTACCCTCCTTAAAAAAGATTTTTTGAATTTTTTTTGCAATCATTCAAAATATAGAGTTAGAAGATAATTGGTGTAAATACATGAGGGTATTAATGTCATTTGTCATCTTTTTTTCTTCTAATGGGAAGGTAGTTTTAGGACGGGGAAAAAAGGGAAGTGGGAAGAAAGTTTTAGGACGGAGGGAGTAATTTTTTTTAATGTAGTAATGCATTAATATATTAGATGTTTGATAACGTAACTAAAAATAATTTTTTAAATAATTATAATGACTATATCATAGAACGACTAATAACTAAAATGTTCTAATAAATCGGTATATAAGCTCTTTAGTTGATCTAAGTAATCGATATGATTCGATCTTTTAATGTAGTTCAGTGTAAGTACGTGTCTTATTGCCCAACCCAATGGCTCTTACTCTTTCCTAAATTTTATCATGATATCGGATCCAGTTTTAGCCCACTGTGTTTGTTAAAGTGTTCGTCTAGAGTCTAGACGTTCATTCCTAGCGGCCACACTCTTTAGCCCAGTTGTATGTGTGGTAGACATGATCAATGTTCGGGCCGGGCTGAGAGGATGCATTATAAGAGTTTTTAAGGCTCGAGCCCAGCCCGCCCCGCATCTCGGGCCTAAAAGTGAAACCTGAGCCCGGCCCACGTGAATATGCACGGGTTTCGCCCCGGCCCGACCCGCATTAATAATAAATTATGAAGATATAAAAAAACTTTTTTAACACTATGTTTCAAAAAAACGTAAATTTTAAACATTAATATATTCGGTGTGTAAATTTTAGCAAACAAAAAAATGGTACGGTGTATATATATCATGGAGTACAAACAAGAGTACATACTTTGCACTAAAAATTTAGTAAACACATTAGTAAAAAGTGACTAATGAATAATATTTTGTATATTTTAAGTATCATATTCCGTATAAAAGGGTATATATTTTATACTACTCCGACAACTTCATATTATTCATATACTTTCATATTAATTATTTATAGGGATTGGGCCGGGCTGTCCGCGGGCTTTAACAACACAACCCATACCCGACCCGCAACACGTTCGGGTACCCAAAATTACGGACCGGGCCGAATGCTAAAACTCAAGCCCAATTTTTGGGTGGGCCTATCAGGCCGGGTCGGATACCCGAGCCCATGATCGGGTCTAACGTGTGGAATGTATATCAAACAACATGTGGCATGTTTAACCCGATTGCTTGTCTGCAAGTCTATACCCAGCGGCTCGTGGCCCTTTAGGTGTTGGCGCTAAAAAAATCAAGGGAATATGAATCCATTTGCAAGTGGTCAACTGGTTATATTCAAAATGGCTCGGTCGTCCACTTGAGGGGAGTGTTATAGAGTGTCCCACATCGAAACTTGTGGAGAAATTAAATCGATTAGATTCAATCTTTTAATGTGGTTCAGCCCAAGTGTCTTATTGCCCTACCCTGTGACTATTACTCCTTCCTAAATTCTATCATAAATTGTGTTTTGTTTGATAATGTTACTATTCTTTATTTCAATATCATATCATTATCAATGTGTGATACAAAGTAAATAAAACAAAGTACTAAAGATGTATTCTTTTTTATAGTGTATTCATTTTATTAAATATATTTATAATTCTCTCTTTTTCTCCGTAAAAGTACATTGTGTTGTTTATAATAATTTAAAATAGTATTGTTATTTTTAATATTGTTTATATTAAAGTTACTATTTTTTATTTCAATATCATTATCAATGTGTGATACAAAGTAAATAAAACAGAGTACTAAAGATGTATTCTTTTTTTATAGTGTATTCATTTTATTAAATATATTTATAATTCTCTCTTTTTCTCCGTAAAAGTACATTGTGTTGTTTATAATAATTTAAAATAGTATTGTGATTTTTTATATTGTTTATATTAAAGTTATTATTATAATTTTATTTTATTTATAGTATTAATAAATATCACGGAGTATTATTTATTTAGACCAGGCCGGCACGTGGGCTTGAGCATAAAACCCGAGCCCGGCCCTAAAGTATACGGGCCACCGTTTATAAAGCCCGAGCCTATTATTTTGCGAGTGGGCCAGGTACCTGGACTCGTGATCGGGTCTACTTCAAAGTCAATAATATTTTGGAGATGAAATTGAAGGGGTTAGGGAGCGGATTCGGGCCGGACCGTGGTGAGGGGTGAGGGGTCTACTCGGGGGTGGAAATCATCAATTGGAGCTAGTGCACTCAAAATGAGTATCAAAGGAATTGTATTAAAAATATAATAATTTAAAATAAGATGTGACATTACTATATTATTTTATCAAATGATAATTGAAAATAGTGAAAAAAAAGTCAATAAATTTGACCATGTGAATAGTAAATATGCAACTTAATTTGGGACAAAGAGTGAAGTTGATTTGAAAAAATAAATTCAGACGACCATCATAATCTATTTTGTGACTCTAGTTTTGTATATAGTAAAACTAGTATTTTGACCCGTGCCATGCACGGGGTCGAAAGAAATTTATGTCGATTCTAAATTTATTTTAATGAAATTTATTTTTCAGAATAAAGTAAATATATTACTCACATGATTTTTAATACTACAAATGAAAAAAGCCAAAGTAAAATAAATAATATTTGAGGAACAGAATGTAGAGTTAACAATGTTTATTTTAATACCAAATTTTCCGTAAGATTTCAGGGTATACAACATTTTTGGTATGATTACAAGGGTTTCTATTGTCATCTAGAATTAAGAGTGAAGTTGATTTGAAAAAATAAATTCAGACGACCATCATAATCTATTTTGTGACTCTAGTTTTGTATATAGTAAAATAATAAAATTATTCAAATTTTTTCTCCCCCATTTTAGTTAAAAGAAACAAATCACATTTAGCTCAATATTGTAACTGATGTACAAAAAAACTTGTAACTGACTACTTAATACTCCGTATAAATACATGATTTTTTTTTAAAATAAGAAAGCTTCATGAGGACCGAATGAGCTTAGCTAAAAATGGAAGTCATATTCTACAAGTCCCAAGGCATACACCGTTTTTTATTATTAAAAGCTACACCGTAAATGCATAAATTTGAAAAATAAAAAAGGACAAAGTAATGTAGTAAATGGGATAAGTTTCACAATGAGATGACTTCTTCATCTCTTCAAATAGAGTTCAAACTCTTAATAAGGAATAGAAATAATCCTAAATAGGACTAAAACATAAAGAAAAATACTAAAATAGGACGTTCATGTTTTCTTCTCGAAATAAGACTTTGCACTATGATAATGTGACTTTGCACTGTGTAATGTGACAGTGTACATGTGCACATTACTATACTTTTTTGGTAATGTATATGACCATGTTTGGTAATGTAAGTCCTATTTCGGGAATAAAAACATGGAAGTCCTATTTTGGTATATTTTCAATGTTTAGTCCTACTTTGTTCTTTCTCCCAATAGGGAACAATAAATGATGGATTCTCCTCACTTCTCAAATCTAATTCATGCCAAAATTAGAGAGGAAAATGAATATATGATATCACTCTTTCCCGAATATATATATTTTATGAATCGAACCCGCCGACTCACGGAACGTATTTAGAATATACTATAAATACATATATGATGAAGATAGGAAATATACATTCTACACTTTGGATATATTTATTCGATCAAACAAGTTTACATACCATTGCTACATCTGGAAACGACAACCATACACGGGGCTTAATCACAAGCTAGAAACCGAAACGAGAAAGTGCCACGATGATCGGGCATCACACGGTAAAAAGTAAAACAAGATAAAACAGTTGAAAAAACGCACGCACGGTAGATGCTGGAGAGAGAGAGACGGGTTTGTTAAAATTTTGGGACAGACTTGCGCAACCAAACCTGTCTTCCATTAATGGAGAATTTCGCTTTCTCAGTGCCATTGAGGATGAAGTCGATTATACCTGGAGTGGTGAAGACAATGAGGGCGTAGAGTGGCAGCTCACCAGGATTCACTTGCTGCATGGTGATGGAATCAATGCAGTCACCAAACATCCTGCTGAAGAACCGACGCATCTCCCCTTCATAAACTGGGAATCCCTTTGAGAAGGTAGCAAACATTGTCCTCCTTCCTTTTGGTGGTGCCTTGATGGTTGGCATTCGACGAGGCACCATCCCAGCAGATTGAGACGATGACGAGGACTCACCAAGGAAGTAGTCAATCAGTGCCACTTCACTTTGAGCCAAGTGTTGCTGGGTGTTATTGTTGATGGCCATTGCCTTGAGATCGTTTAATGCCTTCAGACAAACTCCTGATACAATCTTTTTAATCCTATTAGATGCCGCGGCCTGGTTTTCATACAAGTACTTGAGACTAAAGTGCTGCCCCAAAAGATGTTGAGTGAGAAAAAAGTGACTTGGTGCATGAGAGAAATGATGCATGGTGTTTGCAATGCATCCAAGGCAGATCACAGCTTCCCCGAAGAGTCCATTGATCATTTCGAAGGAAAATGACAATATTTTTGTCACAGCATCCTTGAGAGTGATGTGTTCCAGCCAAATCCAAAAGGCAATTGTCAGCATGGATACCCTTGGATCGCACTGGAGATTGAAGACCAGGATTGAATAAAGTTGTCGGTCAATCGCATGGAAAAGCTTGGTCATCTCAATCGGAACTGCAGGATAGGAAGCTTCCATTTCCATGGCTAACATTGTTGTTGGAAAACAAAACCTGTTCACATGAATTGCACACATGAGACTCCAAGGTATCTCCTAATAGGCAAAGGAGAAAAAACACAAGGAAAAAAAAAGCTACTCTTCAAGGAGAAACTGAATAGTGTGAGATGAAAATCTACAAATCATGTTCTAGCTAAGAATCAAAACCAAGGGAACAAAATTTTAAAAAAATGATAAAAGAATGTAACAAAAAAACCATCTTATGCCCTTGAGAGTATGTAACATAGATGCCATAAAGAAATGAATGTTTTCAAATCCTCGATCACAAAGACACTCATGAAGTTGCTTTTCTGCACTGCTATTTAACTGTGGAGGAGACTCAGAGATCATAATCATACAAAGTAAGAAATCATCTTACAAAAGGAGAAATTTATAGGAAAAGGAGAAACCTCTGGAGATGCTTTATGTACTGATCTGTGTATCTGCTTCACCTAGGTAGCTGAATATATAGGGAGCTGAGGACTGCCACGTAGCTCAAGACTTAAGGAAACCTACCTGGGTGCAAAAGATAAACTTCAGTAAGTTGAAGATTTATATGGAAGAAAAAAGAGAGAATGTGAAGGAAAAGGAGAAACCAGTGCAGATGCTTTGTGTATTGATCTGTGTATTTCCTTCGCATCGCTAGCTGAATATATAGGGAGCTAAGGCTGCCACGTAGCTCAAGATTTAAGGTTACCTGGGTGCAAAAGATAAACTTCAGTAAGTTGAAGATTTATTTAGAAGAAAAGAGAGAGAACGTAAAGGAAAAAGAAAAACCGACAAACCGTTACAGGCAGGAAGGCAGCTCAACACGGTCATGCAACTCTATGCAGTAGTCACCTCACTTTAACCCAGGTTATTAAGGTTTTAGAAACTAACAAACCCAGTTTAATAAAAAACACCATTGGGGTTAGGGTGTCAATATGCACACAATCTTACCCCTATAAAAACAATTGCTGCATTTTCTACACAATGTTTCATAGAAAATAGTAATCGATTGGAAATGAAAGCATATAGTTTTGGAAATTTTGCATGCAAAAGTTAATATTGTTTGTAGAAAACTTTTCTAGAATACATTGGGGAACAATTTTTTTATTGGTGAAAAATTTAAAATATGGACCATAGAAAACCCCAGCTCTCCAAAGTAAGAAAATAAAATTCATTTTATTAAATAATTACAGAAAAATGTAAAATCAGAATGGGATTTCCCAAGGGTGTGTTTGGAAGGAGGGGAGGAGTGGGAAAACTTTTGTTCATTCACCCAAATAATGTTTTGAACCAAATGAGGTGTGGAAATGATTTTCCCTCCTCCATCACCCTGAACCAAATACACCCGAAAAGAGCAAAGAAGTTACCAAAGTGCTACTACAAAAAGTCAAACCTGTCTACCATTTTTACTAATATATTTTCAAAAAATGGTGTATATACATGATACCAGCAAGTTAAACTGCAACTCTAGTACATTCTACCTATCAGAAAAATACAAAAACAAAATCAACAACAAGGTCAGTCCTATAAAAATCAAAGAGGGAAGTTTTGTTAGACTCTTGATGCATTTAAAAGCCAAAACTTCTCACGGGGTATGAACAAAAGGAAGTTCAATGTATCATCTTGATTTAGCCCGCTATGTACCAAAAGCTAAGCCATTGTCAATAATGACTATTTTAGAACCATTAGCAGTGGACGCAATATATGTAGGTCATAACTTTCATCTTGTGCCAATTCTACCTTGAACTTAACAAGAGAAGAATTTTTCCTGCATTCATAAATCATATGCCATGTGAAGCATTCGAAACTGTTGTAATATACGCATATTCTAAAATTTACCAGCTAGTATAATTCAAAATTAATTTAAGCTTCAGTTGCTTATCCATTTTTTCTCTTCTTCTTTGATGACTAAGAAGACCAAGAAGTTCAGTAAGCGAGTTCTTCTCAAATCTTTTTCTCTTAGATGACCAAAAAGTATAGTAATCAATGTATGCTTTTTCACACTTTGTTTAGAAAAATATTAAAGTAATCTAATGACAATTTCTTTATATGTTTATAGCAACGGTAAGTAAATGTTTCGGTGTTTGGATGTCAGTTGCTCATTCACAGATTCGCAACTTCTGAAAACATGTAGTGTGCCACAAGGCATGAATGTGTATATATAATCTAAATTTGGAATTTAGTTAAACCTAGTGATGATTATGGAAGCTTAACATTAATTATTTAAAAATGGCCTCGGCAATCTTAAATTAATTATTTAAACCCAAAACCAATGGGATGAGATCATCTTACACAAGTTAGCACATTTGGCCTAGTTTTTTATTTTATTATATGTTTTTTTATGGTATTTTTCATGCATTGGGCCGCCCTGAGATATAGCATTCAAAACGAACAAGAGGTTGGCAATGGTGGTCACACATTGTAAGCTTAAGAGTTTAGGTTACGCTGTTGAAGAAATATGAAGATGTGGTAACTTGTGTCATTATTCCATAAGTAACAATACCATTCCATATTCTTTCACTAGCATAAAACAAAAATAGACACAAAATATTGTAAGCAAACACACTCTCAGTCCCATAAAGAATTTCACAATTTGACTTCACAAAGTTAATTGTTGAAAAGTGATTGGTGAATTTGTTATTTTTTCAAAGGTCGGAATTTGGTTAGAAGAGCCACAAATTTTGTGAGCCACATATTCCTTTCCTTGAAAGAAAATGAGAGAAGTGTGAAGTTTCTTTGGGCATATATATGAGGAAATTGTGAAGTTATTTATGGGATGGAGCCTAGTGGAAGTTTAGTTGTACAATATCTGTTTGTGTGTGTATGTGTATGTGCATATTCGTAAATGCATATACGTGTGTGTGCAGAAACAAAAATGAATAAAAAGTACACAGATCTGGGGATGAGAGGCATACCTGGGCAAGTCTTTTCTTGAGATCAAAAGGCATCAATGGCCTCATTTGGGTACAACCTACAACATTTACAAATAGTGTTTTGAATTAAGAGTGATGCTTTCATGGTCCCAAGGTCTACATTTAAAATGTGGACCTTCTCACATTTTTCATGGGCTTGCATGGGGATATTTTATATTTTGCAAAAGGCCCACTTCTTTTATGCTACAAATGCACTAAGGTCCATAAGATAAGCATGGACCTTAGATCCACAGAAGAATTTGCCTTGAACTAATTTTTCAAAACATGTTCATATATGTGTGTGTGCAGAAACAAAAACGCTAAAGTTGAATGCTGCTGTTAGATAGCATTTTTAAAACGTTAAAGCTATACACTACAAGCTGTTACCATACAGGCACAATGTCTCATGTCAAAAGACCAAATGCTCTAAATGTGTTACAATAAATAAGACATTATTTCTCTCTTTGCTAAGATCAGATGTTAATTGGATGCAGTCATGCAGTAAACAGATCACCACAAATAGCATTATTGAAATAATGATATCCAATTTAGTGAATTTAAAATTTCAAAAGTAAAGAAATAAAAAAGATAAGCATCCATTTTGGGAAGATAAACATAATTCTAAATTAGATAATAAAGTGTCCTTAATAAGCCTAAAACAAAGCATTACTGATCTGGATATAAATTCATCATTCAAAGATTAACGAAATCATTAATTTAGCTATGAAAACATCATTTTCATTTTATGATGACAACATTAAACATGAAGAATAAAACAAATTCAGAATAAAGAACATTTGAAAACAAAATTAGGGGCGAGGGGGATACAATAACTAATTGACAACTGGAATTCCCCCTCATGTTCATGTTAATGCAACAACAACAACAACCCAGTTGGACCCCAAAAAAGTAGGGTCTGGGGAGGGTGTGTGTACGCAGACCTTGACCCTACCCGAAAGTAGAGAGGCTGTTTCAATGAGACCCCCGGCTCAAGCTGCACATAAAAAGGAGCACAAGAGATACATAAAACAAGGAAAGCTCAAATGCAACGCAAACAAGCACCAAGCACACAGAGCTCATGTTCATGCTAATGAATGAGCCAATTTGTTTTAGATATAAAAATATCCTACACCCAAGTAACACAAGCATGGATGTAAATTTCATTAATGGAAAGCACAAATGCAACCAAGATGCCATAAGAAGAAATTAATGTTTTCAAATCCTCAATCACAGAGGCACTCATGAAGTCGCTTTTCAGCACTGTTTTTTAACTGTGGAGGAGTCTCAAAGATCATGCTCATACAAAGAAAGATATCATCTTTAAAAAGGAGAAACTTGAAGGAAAAGGGGAAACCTCTGGAGACCATTGTGTATTGATTTGTGTATCCGCTTCACCGTTAGCTAGCTGAATTTATAGGCAGTTAAAGACTGCCACATAGTTCAAGATTTGACGAAACCTGGGTGCAAAAGATAAACTTCAGTAAGTTGTGGATTTATTTAGAAGAAGAAAAAAGAGAAAATGTGAAGGAAGCATTTCATCTATGGATTGGTATGCGTAAAACACTTTACTACTAGCTCAATTTATAGGCAGGAAGGCAGCTCAACTCGGTCACTTAACTCATTAAAAAATAAGTTTAGTAATCAATGTATGCATTTTCACACTTCATTTAGAAAATATTGAAGTAGTTAAATGACAATTGCTTTATATAATCAATGTATGCATTTTCACGCTTCATTTAGAAAATATTGAAGTAGTTAAATGACAATTGCTTTATATACTTTTAGCATCGGCAAGCAAATGTATTTGTGTTAGAAGGCTTTGGTTCAATACCAGGTGCTTTAAAGTTTACACAAATACGACAAAGTTCAATTTAAAAAAGGAAAATCAAGTAGGGCAAACTCAATCACTCTTGCGGGGATGCTCCTTTTGAATTTGCAAGTGCTGAAAACATGTAGTATGCCATAAAGCATGAATGTGTATACTGTATACATAATCTATATTTGGTATTTAGTTAAACCTAGCAATGATTACGGAAGCTTAACATTAATTGTTCAAATATGGCATTGGTGATCTTGAATCATCTAAAATAAATCCAAAACCGAAATCAATGAGATGATATTATCTTACATGAATTAACACGTTTGCCCTAGTTTTTCTATGTTGGTATAAAGCGTTTTGTGTTTTCCATGGATTGGGTCGCCCTGAGATATACCCCGTAGTAGCATTCAAAACCAACAAGGACCAACAAGGGGTTGGCAGTGGCGGGCACACACTGTAACCCTAAGAGCTTCAGTTATGTGGTTAAAGAAATATGACAACGCGGTAACTTGTGTAATTATTCCATGTGTAATTAGAAGAGAGACAAAATGTTGTGAGCCACGCATTCCTTTCCTAAAAATAAAAGTTTGAAGCTTATTTTGGAACATCTAAATAAGTGCAAGTCCTTTATGGGATGGAGCCGGGAGAAACTTCAGTTGTACAACATCTCTTTGTATGCTTGTGAGTGTGCATACTCATAAATACATAATTGTATTTACATCCAACATAGCAATTTTGAAATTGCAAAAAGTAAAGGAAAAAAAAGATAAGTATGCAATTTTGGCAGATAAACATACTTCTAAATAAGAGAACAAAGTGTCCTTAATAAGCCTAAAACAAAGATTGCTTATCTGGATGATATAAATTCATCATTAAAAGATTTCAAGTGGAATCAGTTCACCATGAGAATAAGATTTGAAACAGTGTAATGGCGGAGGGAATTGCAGCCCAATAGCAAATTGCTGAGCCTGATTATCAATAATTAACTGAGAATTGAGAAAGCCTCTGATTATCCTTAAAAAGGTACGGATTAGTATACAAATATGCTTAGAATTCTTACGAGAAATCATAAAAACTAGCTTCAGTCGCTTGCACGGCCATACCATCCCCAAGGGGAACTGTTGGAGAAGAAGCAGATTTCGCTTCAATGGCTTCCATGCGGGTGGACTGCGGCGGGCTGCAGTGGACGCCTGCAAAAAATGATTAGTAGGGATGAGCGCAAAAAAAATTGACTGGCGGGTACTTCACATTTGCCCTAACCATTTTTTTGTGTGAAAATTAGCCAAAAATGTTAGTGAAATTTGTACTAAAACATACTCACTCCATCCCATGAAACCTTTCTCATATCTTTTTTTATCCGTCCCACAAAATACTTCTCATTTATATTAAAAAGTCATTTTTACCCTTTACTTTTTCATACCCTAACTATCACATCATACCTTTTTACTAATAATCTATCCATCAAATTATACTTTTGCCCATCACATCAAATGACATTTTTGGAAATTCAATACCAAAATACAATCTCCTTAAATCCCTCCTAAAAAGCAAAAGTCTCATGTTTCATGAGACGGAGGGAGTATATCATTTTTAAATGTAGTATTTACATTTTCTTTGATTCCTAAATAGTACTCCCTCCGTCCCCCTGTATTTGTCCACTTTCATTTTTACACACCATCCAATGCATTTCTTTAATCCATTTTATCTTGTAATTTGTATATTAAAAAATTATAAAAATTATATATTAATAATCTATATGTTAAGACAAATCAAACAAGATCACACATGACTATATTTAGGCTTACACATTGAGAGAATTTGATGAGTCAAAGTGCTTAGATGAACAGTTTCAAAAGTCAAATGTGGACAAATACAGGGGGACGGATGGAGTACTTAGATAAAAGATAATGTCTAGTAGCGAGAATAATGTTCAGGGATGGTAGATATCTAGTTTTACAATGTTAAGCCCCATGAGAGGCAAAGAGAGCAAGAACTAAGAAGCATGTTTAAAGAAAGGAAGAAAGATTAAAGTAGTACTAAAATATTGAAAATATACCAAAATAAAACTTCTATATTTTTATTTCCAAAATAAGACTTAAAATGCATTTACATTACCAAACACGGTCATGTACATTACCAAAAAGTATAGTAATGTGCACATGTACATCACGATATTACAACCACATTACCACAGTGTGAATTCTATTTCGAGAAAAAAAAATGAATGTTCTATTTTGATACTTTTTCTATGTTTTAGTCCTATTTAGAGTAATATGTATTAAAGAAACGTGTTGCGCCAAAAAATGGTGTTGCATCGCAAGTCGCAACAGCCTCCCCTCGACGCCCCACTACCATGTCCTTACCGCTCTCACTTAAATATCTCTGTCAACATAGTGCCCTACTCTGCCCACCACGCTCCTGCATGGCTGCTGGTGTTGCCTCAGGTCCATTCGCCCATACAGTAACAAACATGACAACACTTAACGCCAAAGATCTTAATTAAATATGCGAGATTTGAATCAATACTTTATAAGCATGTGTCA